AAGAATAAGAAAAAGACATAATCTCTAAGAGTGGTGTCTCCATCAGCTAGACAGATGTAGGGTGTGGAGATGAGATTCTTCCCTCCTTCTGCCTGAGAGAGAGAAAGCAATTCTAAGTTTGATTTTGGGGTGTGCAGATTAAAAAGGGTTTGCTTGGATTTTGGTTTCACTAATCTCTTTATAGCCCTTTGTAACCGTGCTCTTTAACTTGTATTTTATAAATTAATGCCTTTGTTTGCCTGGTTTGAGTTAAAAATTATTTCAGCTGTTGGTAGGATACAAGGCCCCATGTATCTACAGGCATAGTAACATTGGGATGAGGGCACTGGAGCAAATCAGAAATGCCAAATTTCCACATTTTGGAGGTGTCCAAAGAGTGACAGGCTGTTCTTCTGAACTCTAAGAGCTGTGCAGGAAACACCTTCTGCTGACCTACATGAGGTAGGTCAGTTCTTTGACAGCAGCAAAACAGCGAGGAAAATAGTCATGTCAGTAATTTTCAACATTCTTCCCAAAGAAAGGGAAAATTCTGCTGTGTTCTTTCCAAAATCACAAAAGAAAAAACCAAAACCTTCCTGTAGTGAATTGGTTCTGCTGCAGGTTGTTGCAAAGGCAAGTTCTTTGTAACTCTTAGTCCTCTTGGATGGTATTTATTTGTCAAAACACAGATATACAGTGCTGCTTAAAATGTCCTTGGAATGGCAACCCGGCCCAAAAAAAGGCACAAGGCTTTTGTGGAAGCCACAGAACATCTGAGGTGGGTCTAGATGTAATTCCTGGGATATAAAAGCAAAATATAGACACAGTGCCCTCATTCCTTTAAGCTTCTCTGTCTATTCCTCATCCTGTTTAGATGTTGGTCTTTGAGGCAGGGAATGTGTTTGGCTGTGTTTGAATGGATGCTGAATGAGAGAATTGCCACTGGATATGGGGAATGAAAGGGATTAAACAAATTGGAAAATTTGTGAAGATGTGGTTAACCTTTTTTTTTTTTCCCTCATTCTAAATCCAGAGAAGAAAAATACAGTAGAATTGTGAACTCTCTGAAGTTCAGAGAACATGAACTGCTATATTTTAATATTTAAAAAAAACACCTGAAACATTAAACAGTTATAAACTCTTCAGAAATACCCCATATGAAATAATAATTTTTTAGCAAAATGTGCTTAATATTTTAACAGAGGAAATAGAGCATTTTCATATTTTTACAATTTCAAACCCTGTTTTTCAGAATTGCTTAGGAGGCAAGACACTCATTGACAATGACACTTTCCCAGCAAATAAGGTACCTTTTGAACAAACTGGAACTTAAAAAAGCAAATAGAAAAAACCCTTTTTTGATAAATTCCCATTGATTGCACATTCCTGATGCTTGAGGAACACTCTTGGATGCTACAGTAGAGACTGTTACACTGTCCACAGACCTTTTCAGGAGTTCATTACAACTGTTTGATTAGTTCAGGACTACTGAAAATTCTCCAAAAGTTAGGGTTTTGAGAGAAACAGTTTTGATGTCTGTCATGGTTTAAGGCTCAAAGGATTCTTTTTCAAAATTATTAAACCCAAACATTTCAACTTATCTGAACTTCAGTGAGGCTTCATAATACCATTATTTTTTTAGCATTTTTTTTTGTCTGGATTTAGAATAAGAAAACATCATTTCTGTTCACAGAATCACAGAATCATTTAGGTTGGAAAAGACCTCCAAGGTCATTAAGTCCAACCTGTGACTAATCCCCACTTTGCCAACCAACCCAGAGCACTTAGTGCCACGTCCAGTCATTCTTTGCACACCTCTGGGGATGGGGACTCCACCACCTCCCCGGGCAGCCCCTTCCAATTCTTGACAACCCCTTCCATGAAGAAATTCCTCCAGGTATTCACACCACTTGTCCATTAAATGCATCTCAAAGAAAAACAGTTGCTGCCATTACACTTTTCACCACATCCACAGACCACATCTCAAGCTACAAAGCAAGGTGGGACATCCCACCTTGCCCGCACCAGTTCCCCAGAAGCCCTCCAAACTCTGTCAATGCTTCCATGAAACTTGTCTCTGGATTTTAAAGTTGGGAGAGACATTAAGATGTCACATCATTTTGGTGAAAGATTTCTGCCTTATGCCTGGTCTGTAGGCCATGGTCTGCCTACCCCAGAAGAAATGCCCATGCTCATATTTAATCCCTTATGTCATCTCCTCCTGGACAGAGCAATCTGATCCCAAAGACCATCCTGATGATCAGCAGGCAGAGGAGGTTACGTGTTTGCTTGCACAAAGGAGCAGAGTGAAGACCTACTCATCCTCAAAAAGGATGCACCTAAAGGGAGGTTGGGTGCACATTAGGAGTCAAAAAATCATGGAATGATTTGGGTTGGAAGGGACCCTAAAGTCCATCCAGTTCCAAACCCCCTGCTGTGGGCAGGGACACCTACAGTGACACGAGTCAGCAGTAAAATACACTCAGTATCAGTGGTATGTTGGCTGATTTGGGTTATTTCTTCCCTCTCCTGTCTTTGCAGCTTCTTTGGCCACTCTCTGTGGCCTGACACCTTCTTCTGCTGACTGCAGAGAAGACAGAGCCACCTTCATTGAATGTGATATCCAAGTGACAGTGGGTCCCCACCAGCAGAGAGGATCTGTGTCCTACCTCTATGTCTGCGAGGACAGCCCCGCTCGGTGGCATCACAGGGACACCACCCCACCCCAGAGGTGTTTTGCTGGACTCTTTGCCAGGTTAGTGCTCTACCTCTCCAACAGCTGGGTGAATCCATCCGTGAATAACATCCCCTAGATGTTATTCCACCTTTTGCAGAATTGGCCCCTGACAAATGATGGACTGAAGGATCAAATTCCAAGGGAATGGCCTGAAGTTGTGTCAGGGCAGGTTTAGGGTGTATATTAGATAAAGGTTCTACCCCCAGAGGCTGGTTGGGCACTGGAACAGGCTTCCAAGGGACATGACCACAGCACCAACGCTTCCAGAGCTCGAGGAACATTTGGACAATACTCTCAGGTACATGGTGTGACTCTTGGGAATGGTCCTGTGCAGGGTTGGACTCAATGATCCTTGTAAGTCCATTGTGAGTCCCTTCTAAGTCAGCATATTCTGTGAAATTCCTGATTCTTAGGCTGATACCAAAAGAGCAATTTAGCCTGGAGACCACTAGAGAGCTCTGCTGGGTTGTGAAATTCACTCCTTGTGCCTATCAAAGCATCTCTACCCCCCTCCTTCCCTCATGTCTTTTTAAAGTGTTTGAGAGACATCAGAAAATCCATCTCGTAAACAGCCTGCTTTGTTCCTTCTTAGGTTTTAATATTTATCTTCTGATCCAAAGCAACATCTGGTGAATGCCAGTGGGGAAAAAGATTAGGCATTATGAAAAGCAAAAGCTTTTTTTTTTTTTTCCTATTTTCCCCCCACACTTCTTTTTCCTGACTTGCTTCCCCCCATCCTTCCTCTCTCCAAGCAGTTTCTCAAGTAAAGAGTCACAGAGGAAATTCATCAGGCTCTGCAATATTTGCTCAGCAAGGGTGCTCAGGCACTTACTCATAGCTCAGGCTTTGCAAATCCAAAGCCAAGTTGTCCAGGAGTATAACTCGGAACTGTTGTCTTTGATGGAGTAGTGGGGATTTACACCTGCAGAGCTTTTACTTCCAGGAGTAAGAGGAATGTCTGAATTAGGGAATAAACAGATGAACCATAGTATGGTTTGAATTGGAATGAACCTTAAAACCCATTAAGTTCCAACCCCCTGCCGTGGGCAGGGCCACCTTCCACTAACCCTGGTTGTTCCAAGCACTGCCCAGCCTGGCCTTGGACGCTTCCAGGGATGGGGTAGCCACAGCTTCTCATCCTCACAGTAAAGAATTTCTCCCTAATACCTAACCTAAATCTCCCCTCCTTCAAATTAAGACCATATCCCTTTGTCCTGTCATTCCATGTCTTCGTGAAAAGTTGCTCTTCAACCTTCTTGCAAACCCTTTTTAGGCACCGGAATGAGATGAACAAAACTTCCTGAAAGTTATATAAGTAAATAGAGAATTAGAGCTCTACAATGCACTGCCCATGATTAGCTGGACATGCTAAGCCCACTCCTGGCTGCTGCATTTTGCCACAGTCCAGGTATTTCAGTGGAATTGCAGAGATCTGGTCCCTATTCCTACCTGATGCTCACATTAACGCTGGTGCTGTGAGTCATCAGAGGGAGTTCTGGATACCCTGAATTCCTCAGGAAAAGAACAACTGACATTTATTTTACAAAGGCACAAACTGTAAAATTTTTTTAACTTGTTTAAAAATATAAAAAGTAGAAGTTTAAAAATGAAATTAATAAAAAAAAAAAAAAAAAAAAAAAAAAAAAAAAAAAAAAAAAAAAAAAAAAAAAAAAAAAAAAAAAAAGGTTTTCACATTCACAGCACCTGCCTGTCAGTCTGTCATTTCTTCCCCATCGATTTTTTAAATTTCAGTTGGGTTTCATAAGGTCTGGACTTAAAAAAAATCGTGTCAGTTTGGAGAAAATCATTGTTAGGCAGAAAGAAATTATTTTCCTGCTGAGTGGAAGGAAGGCAGAGTTCTGCCCTGATCTGTACAACTGGCCGAGGGTCCAAAATCACACAGTGCACTAGTAATGTCCTGGAACGTCCCAGGAGATGGGGAGGACAGATTTGTTAGGGGAGATGAGAGTAGGGAGTCCTGGAGGGGAAAAAGAACCTCTGAAATTTAACTAATTTTGGAAAAAATCCCTGAAATTGAACTAATTTTATCAGTCTTATTGCTCCCAAAAGAACCTGTGGCAGAACAAGAAACTTCAGGAGCCTTACCTTGTCTGGCTGAGCTTTGCTTTGTTTTTCCTCTTAGAAGTGTAAGCCTAAACCAAGGAACCAACAAACTTGAGAGCAACAGAACAATCCAATATGTGTTTCCTTTTTGCTTCCTGTTCTCTGAGTGTCAAAATTGTGCTCAGCTATTCACTGATTAAAAAAATGTATCTGCAATGATGCAACAATAATAATAATAATAATAATAATAATAATAATAATAATGATAATATTGCTTTTCTTCTTGCCTCTTTTCTTGTTTTGGGCTGCCACTGTGGAGAAAGCCATGAAGTCCATTTGCTGACTCTTTGCTTACCGTTTTCCCTGTGCTTTTTAATCCAGTTTATTATTCCTTCAGGGAGCCCCCGGTGGTCCAGGGGAAAATTCACTGCACTGTCACTGCAGAGACCCGGGTTCGATTCCCGGTCGGGGCCCCTCCCCGGGCAGATGGAGCTCGTTAGCCCATAAGGCAATCCATCTACGTCCTGAGGACCTCGCTGCCACCGTCCAAGCGTGCTTGGCCCCGGCAGATGAACCTCAGGAT